TGGGGTTTGGGCAGGTAAGCATGTTTCTCATACCCTTCAAGAGTTTTTATTCCCTTATTCTTAAGGGGTGCCACTTTTCAAGAGGGTCCCTGACTGATTAAAAGAAAAATACTCCTCCCTGACAAGAGCTTTTTGAGACTATGAGCCCATTCCTGTATCAAAGACTTAGGAATTAGAACACAAACTATGAAATTCCGAGAAGAAAATGTAAGGTCAATACTCCAACATACAGGCATGGGCAACAACTTTCTCAACAGGACCCCAAAAGCTCAGGAAAGAATGCTAAGAGTTAATAAATGGGAAGGCATCAAATTAAAAAGCTTCAGCACAGCAAAGGAAGCAATTAGGAATATGAAGAGAGAATTTACAGAATGGGAGAAAATCTTCTGACAGGATTAATACCCAGAATATATAAAGAACTCAAAAAACTGAACACTAAAAAATCCAATTAATAAATGGATTAAACACTTTTCAAAAGAAGAAATACAGGGGCTGGAGTTGTGGCTCAGTGGAAGAGCATTTGCCTAGCATGTGTGAGGCACTTGGTTTGATTCTCAGCACCACGTATAAATTAATGAATAAAATAAAGGTCCATCAATATCTAAAGAAATATTTTTTTTAAAAAAAGAAGAAATACAAATGGCCAACAAATATATGAAAAAGTATTCAACATCATTAGCAATTAGGGAAATGCAAATCAAAACTACACTGAAAGTTCATCTCATACCAATCAGAATGGCAGTCATCAAAAATACAAATAGTAACAAAATGATGGAGAGGATGTGAAGAAAAAGGAACACTTTTACACTGTGGCTAGGATTGTAAATTAGTACAACCACTATGGAAATCAGTATGGAGGTTCCTTCAAAGACGAGGCATAGAACCACTATGTGACCCACTCTACCACTCCTTGGTACTTACCCTAAATATTTAAAGTCGGCATGCTATAGCAATACATGCATACCCATGTTGATAGCAGCACAATTCACAATAGCCAAACTATGGAACCCACCTAGGTGTCCATCAATAAATAAACGGATATTTTTTAAAAATGTATTATACATACACAATGGAGTTATGGTCAGCTGAAAAGAAGAATGAAATTATGTTATTTGCAGGAAAATGGATGGAACTTGAGAATATGATGTTAAGCAAAATAAGACAAACTCAAAGTCAAGGGTCATATGTTTTCTCTTACATATGGAAGCTAAAGAGGAAAAAGGAAAGATCATGCTTGGGGGAGGGGGGAGTTCTCACAGAAATGAGCTGAGTAGCAGAAAGAGACCAGGAGGAGGGAAGAAGGGAGAGAAAAGGGAAATACTGGGAAATGATATTGGCCAAATTATTTTGTTATATTGTGTCATATACAAATATGCAACAATGAATCCCACCATTATATATCACTATAATGTACCAAGAAAATAAATACGGGCAGAAAAAAAAGAGCCCATTCCAATTGTTTGCCTTTGTGATACTCCCACATAGATTACTTCAAAGGCATTTATTCAAAACTAAACTGATTTTCTACTAGGGTTTCCTACAGCAGATGCACAAGCTAGAAAAGAATCAGCCCATACAGCTTTCCCTTCTTACCCAGTGTCAACCTATCAGCAAGTCTCACTCATCACACCTACATAGTCCTCAAATCTGACTTCTGCATCCAACTAAAGACCCAGAGTTATTTTTCATAAATACAGACCTGATAATACTACTCCCCTGGCTAAACTAGTCAATGGCTTCCCCCATTCTTAGGATAAGCCCTTTGTCCCTGGCATGGCTTACAAGACTTGCATGGTCTGACCCCTGCCTACCTCTGCAACCTCATCTCCTTAACTCTCTCCTTCCCTCTCTGTCCTCCATCTCCAACTATGAGTGTAAGCTCCATGACAGCAGAGACCATGCCTATTTGCTCACCACTGTGTCCTGGCACCAGACAAATAAATATATATTGAGGAATCATGGTGTTAAAACAACTGTAGTATCTTAAGTGGAAGCAAGTGAATTATTAACTAAACTATACACAGTGGAAGGGAAAAGTCTTATACATGTTTGTGTAGGTAGCTAACACAGAGCTTGGACCATAATGGAGCTTTAAAAAAATGTAAAATCAATTTACAAATTAGAGACAAATATGATGAAATATCAGCACATTACATCTATTTAGCTTTGCACTGCAGATTTTCACATGCTGTTTAAGTCTCTCATTTGGGTATTTATCCCTCTTTCCATCACAATCCCCTTCTGTGGGGAGGAGACTAAAGTCTAAACACATTCTTAAAGTAGAAGACTGGGCTCCAAGACAGAGCTAGAATAGAAAAAGTATGGTTTGTGGAACTGAGTACATATTCTGAAAAGCAAATAAAACAAGACTGCGGAGGGGGAGGTGGGTATTGCTCTTATGATAAAGATCTCTGTCTCACTTGGCATCTGATCTTGCAACATTCTCCACCCTTTGGCCACACAGGTCTTCCAATAACCACAACATATAAGATCCTCTGACTTTCAAGGCTTCCCACATGACCTTCCCTCACTGTCACAGCTCTTTGCCCAATTTAATTCCAACTCAACCCCTGTGATCTCAACTAAATATTATTTAGACATCTATCAGAAACAGTTCTCACACCTGTCTCTCCCAACTCCTTCCCCGATGTTAGTTATGTATTCTCATGGCACCCTCTACTGTCCTCCACAGAAGGTACAACAGTAATGAATTTAGTTTTAATGACACGTTTACTGTCTCTTGTTAAAATCTTAAAAACAAGGGCTGTATCTGTTTTGGTCATCACTATATTCCAAACACCTAGCACATTGCTGGCACACAGCAGGTAAAAAGTATCTGTTAAATAAGGAACGGAGGTTAGGAGTGTATTTCAATGGTAGAGCAGTTGCCTAGCATGCATGAGGCCCTGGTTCACCAAAAATCAAAAAGAAAAAAGGGGATGAATGCAATACGTTGATAATCAGGTTTTACAGTGACATGGAATTGGCTCTGCCCTTACTATCTCTGTACCTGTGTAAAAGATTCTTATAAACTCTCAGCCCACTTTCTTCATCTATAAATATAGTAGTTCCTATTTTACAAAGGTAAATTACATAAAGTATTTAGCATGGTGCCTGGTCATAGCAAATGTTTAATAAATATTACCTATTACAGGTTGCGTATCCCTAATGCAAAAATCTGAAATGTTCCAAAATCCAAACCTTTTTGGTACCAACACAAGGAGAAAATTCCACCTCTGACCTCATGTGATAGGTCACAATAAAAATAGAATACTGACCTACTGCAGCAGTCATGTGCATGCCAGGCTTGCTCCAGAACTGGTGGTTCAGGCTCCTTTTACTGAGCAGTACACCCGAATCCTATTCTGTTTTATTCAGTTTGAAAGGAAGTCGGAAGACAGCAATTTGTGATGGGTAAATGCTTTCCTTCAAATGTTAAGGTCATTTGTTTTGTACTGGTTGTTATTGAGTCAGTTTAAATACATTCTGGTTAAATGCCAGAGAATTTTAAAATTTTTTTAAGTTTTTAAATTTTAAAGTTTAAACCACCTGTCAAATAAGGACTGCCTGCCTACTTAGTACAACCCACTCGTGTTATACTAGTTTCTCCTACATAACACAGCCACTGACTCTTAGGGAGCCTAAACATCACAATAACAAATATTTAGTTCATTTATCTGCTAAAGAAAATATTAAACTTTTACACATTTTAAATAAGTGTCATTATCTTTATTTGGTGGAGGAACTAAAGCCCAAGATAGACCAGTAAGTAGAGGGAAGCACTATTTCAATACAAGCCAGAACCGTTATGTGCTAACATTGTATTTGAATAGGGAGATTTTTGTAGGAGATTCATTATTTGTTCCCAAATTGTTAAGTTCAAGGATGATTGTTTCAAGGACTTAACTGTGTGATCATGAAGTATTTTTACACACATTCAGGCCATTAGCACTAGAAGATGAAGTTCCTAGGTCTCTGTGATCCAAGTTGCTAAGATCAACTTATCTTCAAAGGATGAATTTACTCCCATATAGCACATAAACATTCTATGATTATTTGTTTAAAGAACTTAACGTAACATGATAGAACCAAGTGTGTCATAATGAGGACAGCATTAATTTGAGGATCTGAAATTTTGGGTTTGAGTTTCAGCTCTGCTGTTTATTACCACTGTGATCTTGGTTAAGTTACTTGAGTTCTCTAATCTATAAATATATTTTTGCTCGTCTATAAAACAGGAGGATTGCCAAGTGCAGTGGCACACACCTGTAATCCCAGCAGCTCACGAGGCAGAGACAGGAAGATAGTGAGTTCAAAGCCAACCTTGGCAAAAAGTGAGGTGCTAAGCAACTCAGTGAAACCCTGTCTCTAAATAAAATACAAAAAAAAAAAGAGCTGGGTCATCTAGCATGTGTGAGGCCCCTGGGTTCAACCCTCAGCACCACATAAAAATATAAATAAAGGTATTGTGCCCAACTACAACTAAAAAATAAATATTAAAACAAAACAGGGGGGGCTGGGGATGTGGCTCAAGTGGTAGCACGCTCGCCTAGCATGTGTGAGGCACTGGGTTCAATTCTCAGCACAACATAAAAATTTAAAAAAAATATATATTGTGTGCACCTAAAACTGAAAAATAAATATTTAAAAAAAAAAATAGGGCTGGGGATGTGGCTCAGTGGTCAAATGCCCCCTGAGTTCAATCCCCAGTACCAAAAAAAAAAAAAAAAAAGGAGGGCTGAACTAGGTAATCTATAGAGATTTATTAAACTCCAGTTTCATTGGTGTAATGAGTAGACATCTGTGTCCTATGGAAGAATTTGAAAGCTAATATTGGTTTCTTGGAACAGTTTCCATGGGTGTGACAATTGCTTTAATTATCCAAAATCTTTCAAAATCTTTATTTTCTTTTTCCATGCCAACTAAAATTGGGATTATTGTCATTACTGGATTGAGCAATAAACAAATGCTAAAATTAAAAAAAAAAAAAAAATACTTACCTTCCAGCCATGAAGGTACACGTGAAATATAAATGAAGCCGGGCGCAGCAGGACACACCTGTAATCCCAGCAACTGCAGAGGCTGAGGCAGGAGGATCACAAGTTCAAGGCCAATCTCAACATCTTAGCAAGACCTAAGCAATTAAATGAGACCCTGTCTCAAAAAATAAATAAATAAAATAAGCTGGGAGCACATTTAAATGGTAAAGTGTCCTAGGTTCAAACATCAGTACCTCCCCCCCAAAAAATAAATGAATTTTGTTTTAGACTTGGATCTCATCCCCAAGTCATCTCATTATGTATATGCAAACATCCAAAAATTTTTTGAAAATCAAAACCCAAAACACTTCCGGTCCCAGCATTTCTGATAATGGACACTCAATCTGTATTACTATTAAATAGTTTAAAAGGGGCATAAATGTTAGAAAAGGCATATTCCACACTCTTTACTAGGACACAAATGTAACTCCCTTTATGCAAACCCATAGTTGCAAATTTGAATAAAACAAATTATACATATATAAATTGTATATTTATATATAGTGTGTATATATAATAATATATATTAAAAACAGTAGAGGAAATTGATTGTTTTATTCAACCATAAAATTCAGAGATGGAGCAAGGTATGATCACTTTGATTAGGGTTTCAGCTTAATTTCTCTGAGATCATCTTCACAGTCTTCCATGTACTGGCTCTTCAGGCTGTCTTCTTTTCTGACAACAGGATGACTTCTAAGAGTGTCTAGGCCATCTGTTATCACTGAACTGAAGTCCTAAACTTCACCCTGAATGGACAAGCCATTTGCCTATCCTAGAATCACTCTGTCCAAGTTGTTGCCATGAACTGATTGACCAGAACCAAAGTTATATTCCTTCAGTGAGAATCTGTTAAGCCAAAAACTTCCTTTCCCCAAATTCCTCACGACTATGACTTTGACATACGACTTCAAACATACATTTTAAATAGTCATTGACCACATGTTTCCATCAATGATGTGCCATGTATATGATGATAGTCCCATAAGATTATATATCACTTAGTAATGTCAAAGCTGTCCTCGCTTATGTAAGAACACTCTCTGATGTTTGTATAATAGTGAAATCACTTCACAATGCATTTTTTCAGATATATCCTATTGTTAAGTTACACATGACTGTATACTAAAAAAAAAAAAAAAAAAAAATCCCAAGGGCCTGGAGGTATAACTCAGCAGTGGAGTGATTGTCTAGCATGGGCAAAGCCTTGAATTCGATCACTGTGGGGGAGGGGGGGCATGCTCGGCCACCACATCTGAAACAGATCTACTTATAAAGCCAAGAATCTTTCTGGATATTAAGTGCTGTGCACTAATTTCTCTGGCTTTCACATTTTCATGTGCACTGTCAGGTTTCATGTACAATGTTAAAAATTATTACCTCAGGCAGCAGGGTTCAAAACCTGGGCTTCACAATCTACACGACCTCAGTCCAGCTACATCGTCCTCACAGGACATTCAGACAAGGCACCTGACTTTGCCTTTAAGATAACTGCCTGGTAGGAAGTTCCACATCTCAATAAGAAAATGTCCCTCCCTTTGGTGTTTTCAGCATCCCAGCATCAACCTCCCCACCCCCTAATCCCACTTCCTAGTACACACTATGTTCTCCAAAACCTACCTCCAACTTTGTTTTTGTCCCCTCAGCTTTTCTTACTTTTAACCCGTCTGTTCTTCAAATTCTTCATCCATAAAAATGGAACTAAACCAGTACTTCCTTCTTGTATAAATAACACAATGGAAGCCATAAACTAACACACAGTAACTATTGTTTAAGTGTTCCTAAAGATCCCTAGTCAGCCTACAACTGAGAAAAAAAAAAAAATTAAAGAATCTTTTCAATGACATAATTTTTTTCAGAGTCCATGTTTTTTTAGAATAAAAGAAACTTCAACTTACTCCATTTAGAGTAATGAAGTAAAATGTAAGATCCCAAAGAAGCGCCAAATGTTGCAAAGGGAGAAGAAAAACTAACAAATTAGGTAGCTCATTGTTTCTTAAGAAATATTATTTCAGCAAAACATACTTGATGTATACTTTTTTTTAATGGTACTGGGGATCAAACCCAGGACTTCACACATGCTAGGCAAGCGTTCTACCACTGAACCATATCCCCAGGTCTCTTATTTTTTTATTTTGAAACAAGGTCTCGATAAATTGCCCAGGCTGGCCTCAAAATTGCAATCCCCCCACCTCAGCCTCCCAGTAGATGGGATTACAGGTGTGTGCAATATACCCAGCATATATCCATTTTTTCTTTTAGGTGTTGATGAACCTTTACATTCATTTATTTATATGTGGTGCTGAGAATCGAACCCAGTGCCTCACACATGCTAGGCAAGTGCTCTACCACTAAGCTACAGCCCGAGCCAGCATATATCCATTTTTATAATGCAAGCCCCATAAAGCAAGCCCCCACAGCACTACATGGCCTTCAGCCCACTGTTAATTCAGAAGTCTCACCATGTTATTCTTTCTTTCTCTCTTCCTTTCATACATTAATGTTGCCCAGTCAGACCTCCTGGGCTCAGACAATCCTGCCTGAGCCTCCTGAGAAGGTGGGACTACAGACTCCACCAGTGTGCCTGGCATTTAGGGGTAGTGCATGCTAGGGATGGAACCCTGGGCCTCCAGCATACTAGGCACCTTCTCTACATAGAGCTAAACCTTATTATTTTTCTTTTTTCTTTTTTGGTACCAAACCTAGGAATATTTTACAACTGAGTTACAATCTCAGCCCTTTTCATTTTCTATTTTGAGACAGGGTCTCACCAAGTTGCCCAGGCTGGTGCTGAACTTGAGCCTTGTATGACTCAGCCTCCCAAGGAGTTGGAACTATACCACACTTGGCCAGACCTTAATTTTTTAATGTAATCTCTTTAACAAAGACCTATTCAAAGGCAACTTTTGTACCTGAATAAGCACATATTTTGGCAAAGAGGTGTTTATCTAAAAACCTGCCTCCCTCACTAAATTACAATTTAGTTTCCATAACTCTCCTGTAAACACACAGTGATACCACCTACTTATGTGTTGAGGAGGAAGAAAATTATCTTTTTAGCCAGTCCAGTGTATGCTCAAAAAGGTTAGTCCCCCTCCCTGTGAAGAATCCAGCCTAATTCCATTTTAAGATTGGGAGCCATATTATCACAAAGCCATGAAAAGTTGATTTGTGTTTTACTATAAATTACTGCGATTTCTAAACTTGTTTGGAATTCCTGCCTGTGCCTTGAACTCACCCATGCCTGGTTTTCCCTGACCAGATAACAACCCTCTCTAAAACCTTAGTGACGCCTCATAAATTCTGATGTTGGGATCTGAATTTACTTCCTACCTTGAACTATCATGAGGTGTACATCATTAATTGCCTTTGTATTATGCTTGTCAAAATCCTGTTATCTGTAAGTTCTCAAGACACCCCCCCCCTTGCAACTTTTGTGCTATAAAATCATATTCCTGGAAAGCTGGGGGACTGATCTCTAAATCGGGTTTTCAGGAGAGACAGTCCTGGCCAGCTCCAGTGTACACAAATATAAGTTTGCTTTAATTTGATTTAAAATTGGAGTCAGTGCTCTTTTCTTTTCGTCAGAGTTCAACATCTGCCCTGTGAAAAAAGTAGATATTTCTCGCTAATTCAAACTCCATTACTAAGCTAAGGATCCCCCTTTCCACCTGCCACTTATCTAGAAACTGATACTCGCCCTCCCTCCCCCCAATATATGTACAGGTTGGAAGACATGAAAAACACTTCCTGGCAATTCCACTAAGAGAAGCAAGTATACGTTCACTAAGCACATGCATCACTGAAACCTAAGTTACTTCAAGAGTAACCAAACAGTGCTGCACGCCTGCAGTCCCAGCTACTGGGGAAACTGAGGCAGAAAAATCGCTTAAGCCTGAGCTCAGGAGTTGGAGGTCAGCCTAGGCAACTAAGCGAGACCCTGACTCAAAAGAGAGAAAGAGAGAGAAAGTGGGGGGGGGGGGGAGGAAGGGGAAAAAGATATCTTCTCAATCTCAAATAACTATACCAAAGGCTTGGGAACTGAAAAGAGAATGAATTCCATGGGCACCATTGTTGTGTACCTACTGTGTGCCAGCCACTAAGCTAAGGACCTTACAAGAGCAATCATATTTACACTTCACCATAGCCTTAACAGTGTGTGTGTGTGTGTGGGGGGGGTATTATTCCCCCAAGTTACAGCTGAAAAAAAAAAAAAAAACAGGCGCTAAGAGTTAAAGACCTCTGTCCACCGTTGCACAATCAGCACCAACTGGAGAAATAAGATATTTAAGACAGTCATTCCCATAAAGGTTCAAGAGTCAATATTCTCCCCTACCTTCTCCCTTGCTAGTTCTAACTCTCCGTCCCTAGGCTAAAGTACCACCAACCTCCGGTGCCTCTGCCCCGCGTCACACCACCTGCACACGCTGCTGCAGGAGCTCCGACCCGCCGGTGTGGGAATTTTGAGACAGACCCTAGCCCAGCCGACTTCGGTTGCCTTTTACACACAGCGCCTTTGCGGAGGGGTGGGCGGGACCTTCTCCTCACTACTTCCGCTCCCGGCTAACGAAAACCAACGCCAGACCTCGGCTACCGGGCAGGGCCCCCCCCCCCCAGCCCACGAGACCACGCCAGACACAGGACTTCAGTGTCCCAACTGAGCTTTCCTTCAAAGTTGGCCCCGCGGGGTTACGGAATCCACGTGGGACCGGCGCGCCCGCTCAGGGCCCGCAATCTTCGCTCGGCCACCACGCCGCTTCCCACCCCTCCCACGGGAAAGTGTTCTTTCACTCGAGTCCGGACACACAGAGCACCTCAGCCCAGGACAAACCCCTATCACTTTTATCGCAAAGGTTTCTTCCTCCCGCTACCCTACCAGGTTGCCGGAGAGCCCACAGTGTGTTTCACGCTCCCGCCTCGGAAGTGACGTAACTCAGAGGTCCGGACCAATCCTAGTGTTTAGGGTGCGCATGCGCCTACGGACGTGAGCCGCTGCCAAAGTGTAGAAAATCCGAGGAGGAGTCTCCTGCTTGAGCACCTTCCCTTTATCTTCCGGAGGGGAAGATAAAGGGGAAGATAAAGGGAAGATTTGGGTTCCGAGGGCTTTGGGGGAAAGAAAAAAGTTGGGGGAATTTATGCTACAGTTATGGAGATATTGTAAAGTTGTAATGATGAGAACAGAGTGATATTGACTAAAAGGAAAAAAGGCCAATGAAAAAGAAGAGAGAAGCCAGAGACCGACCCACCCAGGCAGTCACAGCACCATCAACTAGGAAAGTTCAATAAATAGTGCTAAGTTCATTGAATGTCCACTGGGAGAAAAATGAACCTTGACTCCTACCCCCTGCAAAAGAATCAACTCTAGACAGTAACTAGCAGAATATTGCAACTAGGAAAAAGGAAAACCCTCCTCAGCAGAACCTAAAACCACCAATTCTAAACCTATTTATCCGTGACAAATTGCTGGTAGTTAAATTTAAGACGCTGCAAGACACCATTAAAAAGGCAAGCAATGGAACAGATCTTTGTAATGCATTTACCTGAAAACGACTTATTTAGAATCTATAATTCTCGCAAAAAAAAAATTTTTTTTAAAGACCTGATTGGCAGAAGAGGAAGGCTGGAAAGAGTCTGTTGGAGAGAAAAACTGAGGGGGAATTTTCATTGTTCAAAATTTGAAAGATGGCCAAAGTATGTAAGTTGAAAACCTCCCTCTCTGTTTTCCGTCACCCAGTTCCCCTCCCGTTGGCAACAATATGTGACTGCAGAGCTCTTGTCTTCATAATTAAGCAATTATGTATATATTTAGTATCCCCCCTCTTGTTATACAAACAGAAGCATACTGTAACTCCTCTGTTTCTTGCTTTTATTCGCTTTAGCCAATAGATCATGGAAATACAGATATCCACAAAAAATTGGAAACAGGTAAATTTTATTTTTAACTGCACATTATCCACATTTTCAAAAATATGTTCATTATGTTTTTCTCTGACATACTGAACGTCTGATAGTCACAGACATTTATGTGCTGTTCTGGAAACTCTAGATGACTGTTTTTCAGTTCACATAGTTCATATATCCAAGTAACAAACCCAGCATGATTCTTCCTGCGAAACTGGGCCATCCTCTAAGAGTTAATTTCCCAGACCCAGGGTCTTCTTAACCAACCCGCACTTTACTTCTGCTTGGAGTTTGATGTAGAAGCAAAAAAATAAATTCTGATGATTTTGTAGCCAATTTGGATTGGATCTGTAAAATGTCAAGTTAAGAACTTTAACTTCCTAGGCAGGGTATTATAGAATAGAACCAGTAGCACAGTAGCACAGTATCTCAACCTTCTGTGAAAACAAGAAGAGGGAGTAGACACACATTTCCCTATTTCTCTCACTAAATACAACTATGAACCTTGGATATCATATATAAAACAAGCATAAGAAGACTGAAAGGTGGGGGAAAGGTAGACCAGCTAGAAACCTCAGGAACTAAAATACAAACAACATGATAGTAGTTTCTTCATATATCACAGACAGGGTCCTGGAGGAGCAGACAAACTGGAAATGTCAACGGGCACAGATAAAGCCTCAAGAAAAACTGCTCTCCTAACCCAAAAAGGTAAACTCGGAGAAAGTCATGCCAAGACACTTCAAAATAAAATTGACAAAAGACAAACATCTTGTAAGAAGCCAAGAGAGAAATTATGCAGTACTTCTAACAACAAAAAAAAAAAAAAATTGTGCCGGGCACGGTGGCACACACCTGTAATCCCAGCAGCTTGGGCAGTGAGGCAGAAGGATCTTGAGTTCAAACCCATCCTCAGCAATGGCAAGGCGCTAAGCAACTCAGTGAGACCCTGTTTCTAAATAAAATACAAAAAAAAAGGGATGGGGATGTGGCTCAGTGGTCAAGTGCCCCTGAGTTGAATCCCAGTACCCCCTCCTAAAAAAAAGAATATAGAAAAGAGAAATGTCTCGAATCAAATGAACTTAAATAGATAAATAAATAAAGGCAGAGCAAAATAAATGGAAAGGAAGCAGAAGGAGGGAGATAATAAAGCTAGAAATTAGCAACATTTAAAACAGAAAAATGGGGCTGGAGGTGTAGCTCAGTGGTAATGGAACAAACTGAATTTGCCTGCTACCCTCCTCCGAAATGGGGAATGGCTTCCTCATGCTGAGAGTGGAGACTGGAGAGGCTGTGACTACCTCCCAACTGTGTCTTCAATGGATTCCTCCATCGCTAACATTCTCTCTTTTGGTATACTGAATTCTAAAGAAAGCCTTCTTAATACTTTTTCTTCTCTCAGTTAAAAAGAATCATGTTTATCTAAAAGGAAAATGCAGATGCTGGCCTCAGAAGTCCTCGCTCCTTTTGATCTAAGGAGGTTCCTGGGACTCCTTACAGTCAAACCTGTGAGACACTTTTCAAGGCTAAGGATGTAGAACCTGTAAAACTCCAGTGTTCTATCCTAACACATTCCTACCCCTCTTAAAAGCTTTCGTCATCCCTGAGATTTTCAGACATGGAACTTTTGAAACAATGAAGCTTCTTTCATCTTCCTTCAAAACTGACTTTTGAATAAAACCTCTTTTCCTACCACTACGATTCCAAATATTTACCAACAGTGAGCATTACAGCCTAGCTCCTAGGACCTGTGTTACCCAGTAAGCAAAGAGTGCTCTCCAAGCGTGTGCAAAGCCCTGAGTTCCATCCTCAGCACTGCAAATATAAATAAGGAGGGAGGGAAGGAAGGAAGGAAGAGAGGGAGGGAGGGAGGGAGGAAAACTAAGCATACAATCCAACCCAGCAATTGTATTTATCCCAAAGAAATGAAAACTTATGAACAGACCAAAATCTAGAAACAATTATTCTTAGAAGCTTTATGTGTATTAGACAAAAACTGGAACCTACCAAAACATCCTGTAGGGTTAAACAAACTGTGTAATGTTAGGGGACAGACAGATGAGGATGGTGGGAACATGAGATTTAAGAGAATAATTCTATAAAATGGGCGCATTGTGCTGGACCCTACATGTTCTCTTTTCCGAGAAACAATTTACCTACAGCCCAGCCTGGTCTACTAAGTCACATTCCTCAGCAAACTACCTGTTAACTCAGGAGAAATTTGCAGGCCCAAAATGATGTTGATAAGAGGAATCCAAGTTACCCTGAAGGAGGAGACATTTGTGACCAGATCTCGAAACTCTAGGAGAAAAGGATAGTTCCTTGAACCATAAAATCTATAAGAATGTATGGTTAAGAATCCAGTTAGAGGGGCCAGAGTTGTGGCTTAGTGGTAGAGTGCTTGCCTAGCATGCTTGAGACATTGGGTTCGATCCCTGGCACCACATTAAAAAATAAATAAATAAAGGTATTGTATTGTGTCCATCTACAACTAAAAAAAAAAAAAAAAAGAATCCAATTAGAACTGGGAATGTGGGGGCTCTGGAGGCTGAGGCAGGAGGATCTTGAGTTCAAAGCCAGCCTCAGCAAAAGCGAGGCCTAAGCAACTGAGTGAGACCTTGTCTCTAAATAAAATACAAAATAGGGCTGGTGTTCAATCCCTGGTACAAAAAAAAAAAAAAAATCCAATTAGAACCAGTCAGCATGGGCCAAGGTGCCCCACGGTTACCATGACCCTGGGGACTTGAAAGTCTGATGTCACCCCACTATCAGTCAAAAGTCAGAGGTGGACCTGGACCTGGGTGGGATTTTCTGGAAACTTCTCTGGGATCCCAATAAAACTGGAGGGCAGGAGAGTCACACTATTCTTCTCCTGAGAGGACCCACTTTCTTCCTTGAGAGTGTCCCCCTTCCCTTTCCCATCCCTTCAATAAACTCATGCCTGTTACTCTGAGAGACATGTCTGAAACCTTTCTGACTTGATTGCAGGAATTGGGGTTTGAAGGGGGCTCTTCACACTGCTAGAGTTTCTCGGAAGTCCCCAGCTCTGTAACAACACTCATGGAATGCTACTCAGAATCAAGAAGGAAATAACTATTTATACATACTATAATTTGGAGAATGTCAAGGGCATTATACTGAGTGAGGAAAAAATCAATCTCAAAAGGTTGCATACCTATAATTCAGGTTTTTTTTCCCCCAAGGGTTGAGGACAGAATTCAGGGCTTTGCATGTGCTAGGCAAGCGCTCTATCACTGAGCTAAATTCTCAAACCCCTCTATAATTCCATTTGTATGGTGGAGTTTTTTATGGAGGGGGTAGTTGAACTCCAAGGTTACTCTATCACTGAGAAGTCCTTTTTATTTAATATTTTTGAGAAAGTGTCTCCTTAAGTCACCCAGGCCTGCCTCAATTTCCTGAGTTGCTGGGATTATAGGCCTGTGCCATCGTCATGCCTAGGCAATATAGCATTCTTGAAATTTTATTTAGTGGTTGCCAGGGGTGAGGAATGAGGGCAGAGGAGAATGAGTGCCACCACAAAGGGGCAGCAGGAAGAAGATCTTTTGTACACAAGTGAACATAAAACATCTACCAAAAAAACTGTTGTGATGATAGAATAATTCTGAATCTTGATCTAATTTGTAGTTGTGTGAACCAACCCATGTAACATGGAATTGAGCACGCTGGCTCTCTTTCATCCTCCCCTCCTCTCTCGGTCGAATTCCTGAGTTTTGTTGGATGATTTTGCAACACTGGGGCTGAACCAGGGACTAGCAAGTGCTCTGGGCCACACACCCAGCCCAAATTCCTGGTTTTGATATTGCACTCTAATCGTGGGGGAAACTGGGTGAAGATTACACCTTTGCGCTATCCACATTTTGCAGCTTCCTGTGAA